CCCCCTCCATGAGTCCACCACAGCTCAGCAGAACATCGTTGTAGCTTCTTCTGGGGAGAAAAACACTTAGAGAAAAAATAAAGTTAACAGCTGAAATAGCAGGAAATAATACAGTTAAAGAGCAGATTGTAGAAGAAAGTAGTCGAGTGTGGAAATGGAAAGTGGTCAGTGTATCCTCCAGCAGTCTAAGCCTATAGCAGCATAACTACAGAGATAACTCTGAATAACCTAGCCTTTTAGACGGACTTATTCACATCAGGAAGGTTAACATCTTTCCTGGAACCCTGAAACATACAACTTGTTGGCTAAAGAAGCCTTAAAACATCTGAGATCAGTTCCATCAAGTCTCATCTGAAATTGGATCTCCTGCTAGCTTCCTCGACTGCAGAACGTACCTTGGTGCGTATACATTTAAAGACGGAAGCGAACAGCACAACAACATGATCCATTCTACATGTGGGTGTTTTCTGCAATGCAACGGGGCAAAACTGGAACAGTATTTAACTGCGAAGACGAAATGTTATTTCAGGAAAGGGACTCCAGAGAAAATGTCTGGGGTGACGAGAAGGGCTGGTGATGATGGTGTGTGGAAAAAAATATGAGGCAACAAGAGAGTTCCAGTGACCAGATGAGAAAGTAGCTGGCTTCCCTCCTGCACACTCAACCCAAACATACCCATCACCTTCCTGCAAAACTCAGTAAAGTGAATCAAAAATCGACCTTATTTACTGGGACTTTCATCATGACCTGTCAATATTACATAATACAGGTGTGTTTTTTTTCATCATGAGGGGTGGAAATGGGGCTGTGGAGGCAGTGATGAAGCACAACAGAGAGGGACAGCAGGGAGCCAGTGTGTGTAATTTATTTAAGGGTTCAGCCTTCTTGTTTTATGTATTACCATTAGGCTTTCTTCATACAAGACAAAAACCAGATGTGGATCCAGATTTAGGACGATTCAGACATAATTAGGGATGGGTACCGAATTCGGTACTTTTTAAGGTTACCGACTGAATTCCATAGTACCGACCGAGCACCGATTTACGTCATTTGAAACGGTGTCTCGTTTCGGTACCAGTCCTTCATAACGAGAACTTGCCAAAACTGCTGCGCATACGCAAGAGCGTTATGTCGTTGCTCGCTGCGAGCCAGTTGTAAACATGGTTGTAAGCATGGTAGAAAGAACGCACGCTAAAGTTTGGGTCCACTTCACTAAATGTGATGGGTAACTGGGTGATGATGAAACCAGCGACAACGATCTAAGTGAGACATCCTCATCTTAATCTGCTCCGGTAGGTAAATAAAATGTTTAAGATAATGTTAGCTGCTTCAGACCTGAGAGCACCGCGTGCTCTCAGGTCTGAAGATAAACTCCTCCTAGCTGTTCCGAATGTACGTTTAAAAGGCCGTGGAGAAAGGGCTTTCTCTGTCTGTGCACCAAAGCTGTGGAACGCATTACCACTGCTAGTGAGGCTAGCACCAATAGCTAGCATTTTTAAATCACGCCTGAAAACTCACTACTTCAACCTAGCTTATACCACATAATTATGAACCTCACTGACATCTGCACTGTTTAAAAATGGACTTCACAATTATCAACTTCTGTACTATTGAGGTTCTTTTTTAAAATGTTTTTCTAATTTTTTATTCACCCTGTGTCTTATTGATTTTTAGCTGTTAGTTTTGGGAATTTTGTTGTATTTCCTTTTTATCTTTTATCTGTGTTCGACATGTTTGTATAACGCCGGTTTAATTAACTAACATTTTTAGTGTACAGCGCCTTGTTTGGTTGTAATGCTTTGCGAATGCGCTTTATAAATTAAATTGGATTAGACTGGATTGGATTAGCTTGATATGTTAGCTTCCGTTCCTCTAATGGTGCGTTCGCGTTCTCCTTGGAACTCCGAATTTCCGACTAGAAGAACATGAACGTGCTCTAAAGTTTGGCTTCACTTTACTAAATGCGACGGGTGATTGGGTGAAGATGAAACCAGTGACAACGATTTAAGTGTGAGGCATCATCGTTTTAATCTGCTCCAGCAGCTAAGTAAACTGTTTAAGATAATGCTAGCTTGATATGTTAGCTTCCATTGCCACCGTTGTTATCAGCTAATGGTGCGTTCGCTTTCTCCTCGGAAATTCTAACTTCCCAGTAGGAAAAATCATGAAAAAAGACGGCAAAAGGAATGAAGATACACAGTAAATTTAGTTCACAGTAAAGATGTTTGCTTCAGTTTTATTATCAGCTTATAAAACTACAAGGACGATGTTAAAATACAAACAGTTGTATGTTATTTATCGTGATATTTATCAAATATTGTTATATATTGAGAAAAATACATATTTAATTATAAAAGAGAATTAAAATAATAAACACTCAAAAGTATCGAAAATTGGTACCGTTAAGTACCGGTATCGATTCCTAGGTACCGGGAATTAGTACCGAATCGATTCAAATGTCAAAGGTACCCATTCCGTAGCGATGATTGTACATATGTAATAGATCGATGATTGTACATATGTAATAGATCGATGATTGTGCATATGTAATAGATCGATGATTGTACATATGTAATAGATCGATGATTGTACATATGTAATAGATCGATGATTGTGCATATGTAATAGATCGATGATTGTACATATGTAATAGATCGATGATTGTACATATGTAATAGATCGATGATTGTACATATGTAATAGATCGATGATTGTACATATGTAATAGATCGATGATTGTGCATATGTAATAGATCGATGATTGTGCATATGTAATAGATCGATGATTGTACATATGTAATAGATCGATGATTGTACATATGTAATAGATCGATGATTGTACATATGTAATAGATCGATGATTGTACAAATGCAACAGTTGCATAGTGGCAGCATACCGGGGTCCTGGATGTAGAGTAGAGGCAACAGTGGTGGTTTATCCATGATGTGGAGAACATCATTGAGAATTTAAAGCCAGACTACCAACAATGGCCTCCTTTTTTGACAGGGGGCAAGACAGGGATGAGTAACTTTGGAGTAGAGGAAATTGACTTGCATGTGTAGAGTCACAGCATTAACCCAAAAGAACATATGAGTTACAGCTGAGACAAACAGCCAGACCTTCTCGCTCACCATCAGTGCCCGACTTCACAAATGCACGTCTGGATGAACAGTCAACATATCCCATGAACACATCCTAAACTTTGTGAAAAGCCTTCCCAGAACCATGTTCCAGGTGGAAAAGCTTCCCACAGGGATGATGGATTTATGATGGGAAGGACTGCCTTACACATCAATGTGTCTCTGAATCAGTATTTGAACACAGTGGGCTGATTTCTGTGGCTCATTTGAAAAACTTCTAATCTAGAATATAAAAGATGAATTTAAATGCACTCGTATTTAGTTGCATTGATACGTGTTGAAAGCCTGGCAAGCTGTCCTATAAATGTGAATATGTGGTCTGGACTTTGTCCACAGACAGAGGTCAGTTGTGGGGCAGGATCTACGGTTCTCTTTCAAACTGTCTCTGCAAGCTATTGGAAAATAAACAACATGACATAACCCAATGGGACAGTCACACTGTTGAATACGATGCAAATGCAACCTTTTCTAAATGACCTGAAGTACCTCCATCTACTCTTGACTCAAAGAAGTCTACTTAGTCGAAGGTTGATGCCAACGCCGTTTCAAACAAGTCACCGCCATCTTGGTTTTGCTCGGTCGCACTTACACCCTGCCCACCAAACAAACAGAGAGCTGTGATTGGACCAGCACCAGACTGTTCTGGGCTGCTGGGGATCCAGTGGAGTGTGACCAGACCAACACACAGAGCAAAATCATTTCGCTTTGACAACTAACAGTCTAGATTCTAGGCGAACGCACTGATATAGAGAAACCCAAAACATTGCAACTAAAGCCTGGTTCATGCTTCTCCGTCAGCTCCGCAAGGGACAGACACGCACGGATTGACAGAAGCGTTTTGCTCTCATACTTCTCCGTCTCCTGGAGAGTGTTGCAAAGCAATTGCCCGGCAGGACCACAGAGGGCGTAGCGCTGTTCTGTGGTATCCTGTCATGTATCGGTCCAAGATCGTGTGTTTATATTGTGTTTTTTGTATATATAAGAGTCTTTTAACACGGACATATTTGTCTCTCATTCTCCCACCTCTTCACGCGCTCCCCACCTCTAAACCCACGTTTCCTGTCATTTCCGTCCACAAATAAAACGCTTGTTGCGCATCTTTTCACTCCTCCAGTCACGGGAGGATGAAACGTTCATATTTTTAGAGTTTTTTCGCGAGGTATTCTTCAAGCTTCTCCGTGTCTGCCGCTAGTTATCCTTGGCTCTCTTTGCAATGGCGGCGCTGTAAACAACAGCGGCGTCCTGACCAATCACAAGCTTGCGTAATCCGTCTCGTTCGACAGATGTTTAAAAAAGTGGGCTCGACTCCGTACGTACTTGCGTGCCTGCCGGATCCCTACGCAAGGACGGATAATGGCGTTGCGTGTCTCCGCACTGACGCAGACGGAGAAGCATAAATCAGGCTTAAATGTGAAATCTCCAACAACAGAATGATCATCTGGGTGAAGAAGTCACCAGCATCATAGTTTACAATTAGGATTCTGGGCTAGTCTTTGGGGTCAAATTCAGGTAGAATGGTCCTTCTTGGCACAGAATAAGTAATCTATTGTGAGCACTCAATCTAGGATGATTCCAGGAGAGATCTGCTAAAAGTCAAAAAGAATATACCTGTTAAGACACCTTCACACCACAACGACACCAGGATTATCTTCACTTACAGTAATTTACCAAAATCCAACCATGTTTTGATGAACCAGCACAGCAAGGTTTTAATCCAAAGTGAAAAGGGTTTTACGGAGAGCAGAATTCTCAAAAACCAATACAAACAAAGTGATTCTCTCAAGCACCTCTTTTATCAACGTGATGTTTGCCTGCAGAATGAAGTTACTGAAAACTCTCAGGACAGTGAAGATCTTTACCTGTTTTAGGGTCAACAGAGAAGTACGGCTGGCCGTGGAGGATGCTGTATACCACTCTGGCACTGTTTCCATAAGTTGGGTCATCTGCATCCGTGGCTGTTACTTGCGTCACGTAAGTCCCTGTGGAGCAGAGTGTGAAAAACACATTGACTTTGAGTTAATCGTTGTTCTCGGGAGACCGAAATCCAAACTCTTTGAAGTTCGTCAGCTTTCCGAACGATCTCACCTGACACTAATGAGTGGTGAATCGGTGGTGAGAAAGCTGCAGCTAACGCTGAAGAGTGAAAGAGCGCAATAAGGAGGAGGAAAACTGGGGAAAATGGGATATTCCTGTAGGAAATTTGCATCTTTACAAAGTCGCAATTTAAAAATGATGCAAAGACTGTTGCGCAGCTATTCATTAAATGATGCTACCATTAAGAAAACAAAAAGCCAAGACAAGATGGCAGTCTTCCAAACTCCTAACCGCGACAGAATAATTACAAATAGAAGTTCTGGCTCATGCTCTTTTACTATCTGGTGAGGACACTTTTCCTTCACAAAGTCAAGCTTTATTTAGTGTCTTTCTTTATGTCACTACCGTGCCGGTGAGCGAAGCGGAGATGAGGCGAGGATCCAAACGGGGGGAGGAAGACAGGCAGACAGGTAGGACATTTTACAAGAAATTTAATATGGAGCACGCAGGACATAGAAACAATGAACCAACACGAGACACAACACAGAAGGGGTTTAAATACAGGAGGGCTGGGACCTTGGGTGATTGGGTGACGAGAGGCAGGTGGGAGCAACTGACATGGACACAGGACTGAACAAAATGGGGAGACAGGACAGGGTGTGACACTTAACATTCACAAACAAGTGTTGGCAGTTTAACAACCCCAAACACAAGCAGATTGTTTTGAATGATGTCTACAAATGGCACATCTGGGGGCTTAAAAAAGTGTGTGTGTGTGTGTGTGTGTGTGTGTGTGTGTGTGTGTGTGTGTGTGTGTGTGTGTGTGCGTGTGTGCGTGCATTTTAATGTCCAAGAGACACTGACCAGAGCACTTAAGGTGGACATTTTACATTCTGGTAAGCATCAAGATGCCTGTAAAGTTTAATAAAAAGGCCTATTCAGTCTGTGAGTGCATTAACAACAGAATTAAAATGTTAGGCTGAAGAAGATTAGCACCCGTCCTCGCTGTCAAAAACGCCCGATTACCTGATGGGGATTCACTGACTTAAACACGTTTATACGAGATGAGATAACACATTTGCAATGCAGACAAGGACAGAAGAATGGTGGCAGTCTCAGCACATTTAGAATTAGTTTGAAAGCCTTCAAGCACCTCTGACTCCTACACATTCACAGGCAACAACAGGTAACAGCTTTTACATAAGTGCACGGCTGTAAACAAGTCAAATGAGCGCCGTTTGAAGAATTTGCCGGGAAATCAAACACTTGAATGAGAACATGATTGAAAAACATGGCTTCAGAGTTCTTAGTTCAAGAAGAAAAAGAAGAAGAAAAAATATTTTCTAAAGCGTCTCTCAAGATAAAAATCACGAGGCGTTTCACAAAAACAAGAAATGTAAAAATATTAAAAAAAATTAGAAAATGGTTAAAAATATATTTAAAATGAGCAAAAAATAGATAATTGTGATTAAAAAATGTTAAGAAAGAGAGAGAGTGAACAGGAAAGAGGGAAATCAGTGGATCCTGAGGAAGGTGGAATAGGTGGGGAGAGCAGAATAAAGAGAGAGAGGTGAAGAAGGTCATACAAAAGCCAGCTTGAACAGGTGAGTCTTCAGCTGCTTTTTAAAGGAGACCACTGAGTCCACTGATCTCAGGCTCAGGGGGAGAGAGTTCCAGAGTCTGGGGGCCACAGCAGCAAATGATCTGTCACCTTTGGTCTTTAAAATTAATTGAGTTGATAAAAATATAACAAATTTTATTGGACGTTAGAGTTTTGATGCAGAGAAAAGTAATTAACCCTGCACATTATGAAAATGTTTTAATGTTTAATGCAGTGCAGATAAGAACTAAACTTAGAGAAAAAAAACAGCATTTCGACATCTTAAAACGTGCTTGTATACAAGCAGCCAAAGCAACAATTTAATTAAGACTCAGACAATTCATTTAGCCGTAATTATAAACCTTTGAAATCTCTGCGTGAATCCGGCTCGTCTCGAAACGAGTCGAGGATAAACTTTTTTATTTATGTGGGATTATGGATCGGTTTTCTTTTAGCAAGTTTACTAAGTACCACTGCATTTCTTTGATTAGCATTTAGAATATTTTCCTTCTTTCCAAAGCTACAAAGGTAAGCTAAAGTTTAATTAAGCACAGGCAACTTTCTGGTATTTACATCTAGAAAACCCGGAGTGGATGTGACTGCAGTTGGATTGGATGAGTTAAAGTATGAACAGATTTGTTTTTCTTCTAAACTTACATACATATGTACCCTTGTTTCCTTCATGCTGTTTGATGCATTGGCATTCAAAATTACCTGACTGCATATTCTTTTCACCCAGAGCAGTTATTTCTAATATATAGGGCTGTTCGATGTTATCAATCTCACATTAATATTGGCCAATAGCAGCAATTAAATTTGATATTAGAAAATACCGGTATCAGTTTTCAGTCTTTTAATGACCCAACCTTTACATAGAATACACAAATTACACATCAAACTCTCCAGATACTTCTTCTCTCTCATATCAACAACATATGACAGAACTGAGGTATAGTTTGAGGGATTTTTTAGTTTATTTGGCAAACTTGTGAAGCAGAAATCAGCCCAGTGTAGTGAACGTACGCTGCCCCCACAAAACATAAATCTTTACGCAAAGCTTGCTTTTCTTATATGAAGACCTTTCTAAATATTTCGTCACTCACTACATTACACAAGTAAATAGAAAAATGCATCACTAGCTAAACACATCTCAGCGTCACACTTGGGGAGAATGAGATTCAGCTGCGATTATTAACTTGCACTAACTTAACCCTCTGGAGGCAGGAGTTGCAGATTTACAACGTTAAAACCTACCTACCTGGTTACTCCACACACGTATTTCATGAGCATTTTTAACTCAGAAGTTCCCCTGAATGACTTGGTTGTTCGTCCTTTTATCAAAACTTATTTTGAGCCTGAGAGGGTTAAAGCCATCCATCCATCCAGCGGTCAACGGGCAATCAGGTGGGGTACACTCTGGACAGAGAACCAGTCCATCGCAAGGCAACACAGAGACACACACACACACACACACACACACACACACACACACACACACACACACACACACACACACACACCTAAGGACAATTTAGACAGACCAATCAACCTAACAGTCATGTCTTCTTATTTGAAGTCATGTTTTTGGACGGTGGGAGGAAGCTGGAGTACCCGAAGAGAACCCACACATGCACAGGGAGAACATGCAAACTCCATGCAGAAAGATACCAGGCCGGGGATCGAACCCAGGACCTTCTCTCTACAAGGCAACAGCTCTAACCACTGCACCACTGTGCAGCCAGGTTAAAGCCATACTATTCAAATTTTTCATATTTCTAAGTCCTTTTCTTGAGCCAGTATGTGAAAATTTACCCTTTAACTCATTCACTGCCATTGACGACTAAAGTCGTCATTTTAAGTCCAACCGTTCACTGCCAATCAATCAATCAATCAAACTTTATTTCAGACAAGGGATATGTCCATAACAAGAATAAAAAAATAAAAAATAAATAAAAAAAATAAAATACAAACACATTCTAATTACAAACCGTATAGGCAGTTGCTCCAATGTTTTAAAAGGACTGAGGAGTACCTCGTGTCACTGTAAGATAAAGATGACAGAGCTCTAACAACCGCGTTAGCTGACAAACTCAGTCGGCAGATGAATTTGTACATGAAGAGCCTCAGAAGCGCATGAAAAGTTGGGATGTTACTCGTAACAAACATGTGACTTGCCGAAGTCCATCTAGGGAGCTTCATGAGGATTCTAAAAGCATCCTGATAAGCCACTTGAAGCTTCTTCATTACTACCTTACTATAGTTGCACCACAAGTGGGCTGTATAGAGAGGAGTACAAAAGGAACTAAAGAGGGACACTTTTACAGGATCTGAGCACATGCCAAAGTTACGTGCCAGAGTGTTAGCCTGCATGTACAGCTTACCACACTGCCTCTTAATGTCCTCGTCATCACAGAGGTCACTTCTTAAAATGTGCCCCAAATATTTTACTTTGCTTACCACTTCCAGGACCTGATTTGTATACAAGATGGAAAATTAAGCTTCAGGTCCCCTTTAGTAGCAGCAATCATAACCACACTCTTTTTAGGGTTAAACAGGATGTCAAATTGCTCACCATACTTAGCACATGCCCTGAGCAGCTGCTGCAGGCCTGCGCTATAGGGAGACATGAGGACTAGGTCATCTGCATATATTAAATGATTTACCAGTCGGTCACCCACCAAGCATCCAGTCTTACTAGCATTCAGAGTAACAGACAACTCGTCAATGACAACTTTAGTCATCGTTTGCATGTTTTTACTGTGTGGCTGTCGGAACGAGCCCCCGCACCGTGAGAACAAACATCTCAGCTCTGAAGCAGATCTTCATCTGTATATGTCACATGCCACGTGATCGGGAAGCAGAACATCCATGTGTTAAGAGATCGTTTTGGGCCACTGCTGTAAAAAAAAAAAAGCGAGGAGTGAACCGGAAAAGCTTCTGCCGATCACAATTCAACAACGGATTATGAAAGAAGGGATAACGCTCGAAACACGTGGATTCTTCCTGATGTAAGAGGTGAGCCTCTGCTTTGTTTTTTTTTTTTTTGTTTGTTTTTTTGGCGTCGACATCATCCTAGCGCGCAATGTTCTGTGACTCTTAAAAAAACAGAAAAAATGGCGAGAAACGCTGGCAGCGAAGGGCTTTACTGATCAGGAAATGGCTGGCAGCGAATGAGTTAATATTATAGGGTTAATGAGATGTCATTCAGGTCCAACCCCTCTCTGTGGCCAGAGCACCACACTTGCAACATCAGACTGGTGAGCCACTCCTCGTTGGACGTCTCCTGAATGTTTTAGATCGTGAACACATCTGATTTGTTTCGTTTAGTGATGAATCACTCCTTTAGACACTAATAAAGGCTGAGGAGAGGTTTCAGCTGTTAACTCCTTGTTGTCTTTTTAACACCAAATCTAAGTGTTGCTTTTGGTTCGGACACTAGGGGGTGCTAAAAGCAAGCCAAAACTGCCAAGTTTAAATTGAAGTAGTTGTCAATTTGCACAGATAAAGTCCGACATTTATTCATGCATGATATGTAATTTTAGTAACCTAAAATGTTTTAGTTTTGGTTCTTATGAGACGGGTACGTCGCATTTATCTGTATCGGAAATTAAGCATCAACATTATCAGTATAGCTGATATCGATAAAAAAGCCAATATCAAGCATCCCTACTGATATGCTAATATTTATCCAATAAATAACATCAGAACTAGGGATGGGTACCTTTGACATTTGAATCGATTCGGTACTAATTCCCGGTACCTACGAATCGATACCGGTACTTAACGGTACCAATTTTCGATACTTTTGAGTGTTCATTATTTTAATTCTCTTTTATAATTAGATATATATTTTTCTCAATATATAACCATATTTGATAAATATCACGATAAATAACATTCACCTGTTTGTATTTTAACATCGTCCTTGTAGTTTTATAAGCTGATAATTAAACTGAAGCAAACATCTTTACTGTGAACTAAATTTACTGTGTATCTTCATTCCTTTTGCCGTCCTTTTTCGTTTGATTTTTCCTACTGGGAAGTTAGAATTTCCGAGGAGAAAGCGAACACACCATTAGATGATAACAATGGTGGCATAGGAAGCTAACATGTCAAGCTAAGATAGATAGATAGATAATCTTTATTGACAGACTCTTAGGTCCAGATAAAATACATATAAAACAACAGATCAATGAAACAAAATAGATAAATAGAAATAAAAAGATAATAGCATAAAATTGAATAAAAATCTAAATGTAATTAAAAACTTTACTAACATTATCTTATACTGTTTATTTAGCTGCTGGAGCAGATTAAAACGATGATGCCTCACACTTAGATCGTTGTCACTGGTTTCAGCTTCACCCAATCACCCGTCGCATTTAGTAAAGTGAAGCCAAACTTTAGAGGGCGTTCATGTTCTTCTAGTCGGGAATTCGGAGTTCCGAGGAGAAAGCGAACGCACCATTAGCGAAACGGAAGCTAACACATCAAGCTAACGTTATCTTCAACATTTTATTTACCTACCGGAGCAGATTAAGATGAGGATGTCTCACTTAGATCGTTGTCGCTGGTTTCATCATCACCCAGTTACCCATCACATTTAGTGAAGTGGACCCAAGCTTTAGCCTGCGTTCTTTCTACCATGCTGCTCTGTTTACAACTGGCTCGCAGCGACCGACGACATAACGCTCTTGCACATGCACAGCTGTCTAGGCAAGTTCTCGTTATGAAGGACGGGCACCGAAACGAGGCACCGTTTGAAATGACGTGAATCGGTGCTCGGTCGGTACTATGGAATTCGGTCGGTACCTTAAAAAGTACCGAATTCGGTACCCACCGCTAATCAGAACAGATGTATTTTCATGGTGATTATATTAGTTGTATGTGACACAATCAGCAGCTCCCATATTGGTTTTGGTTTGATCTGACTGAACGGCTGAAATGTTGGATTTCAGCCAGAAAAATGTCAGTTTTGTCCAGAACTCAGACCAACATGGCATTTATGGACGGTGCTCCATGCACTAATCTCTGATATAGTAAAGTTAATAATCAAGTGTTTTTTTTTGTTAATTTTTCTTTAGGCAGATCATGAGATGTTACTGCTTCCTTTTTGAAAACAGCTGTAAAATATGTTGAAGAAGCAACCTAAGTGTTGACTAATTAACTCCCATGACATCCCGATCCAAGATGGCCAGTTGAACAGTCTGGAAGTTTACCTGCTAATGAACTCATTCAGAAAATGTGAAGTCCGTGTCTGAACAGAGAAAAATAACATTTCCTCCAACTTTTTTAAGAACTTTGAGAACGCAAACACGAGGGTTTGCGCTTGGTTCTATCTCTCAGAGCAACGGGCTTTGGAATGACCGGTCAGTCTTGTATTTTTCTTTGAGCTTCATTTCATGGACCCAACAGATGCGTGTGTTTTTTATTTATTTATTTTTTTTGAACGAACTTGAAAGCTTCTCTCCTACAGTAAACACCACGGCACTCCTTTTGATTCTGGGTGCTCAATGATGCCACGGCACGTTTTTATCTGCTTTCCAGCTTTCCTCTTGAGACTGCTGAATTTGAAGTTTTGAGGGCTTCATTGTGATTCACATCAAGAGAAAGCATTCTCCAGGGCGAATTACCTTGATCTGTCCTCCCTGGGGGGGAATGTGTAAAGACAAAGCTGTGAAATATTCTCCGGGCACACCGAGAATAAAACGGTTCTCTGAAATGTCACAATCTGTTAGGGAGAGCAGTGTTACCCCCTCTAGTTGCACCCGGGCTGCACCTGAAACTGAACTTCTCGCACTCCCCTCTTCAAAGGGAAAAATCCTGTTTTTACTGGAAAGAATGGACTCCTGTGTTTGGCCACTCACCCACTGGTGACATCTCAGGAACACTGGCTGTATACGGCCCATCCAAGAACTTTGGCTCATTGTCATTGATATCTTGGACCTTGATTACGAATTCAGATTCAGGCTCCAGGGGGATGTTGGTTACGATGTCCACTGCCTGGGCGCGCAGGGTGTAGTAAGGCTTCTCCTCCCTGTCGAGACTCCTTAAGGCATGGATGTCCCCCGTAGTTTGGTCAATGGTAAAAATGGATCCAGCACCGTCCCCCGAGAGGGTGTACTTCACCGAACTGTCCCCCCTATCGAGGTCAGTGTGGAGCTGCGAGACAAAAGAGAGGAAAAAGACAGGCTGAGTGCAAACACTGGCACAGATAATGATTCAATGAAAACACAAGGGAAGTGCTGTCAAGGAGAACTATTTCACAATGACAGTGAGTGAAACTGACTCCACATCAAAGAGCAAATCCATCCCCCTGCAAAGATCTGCAAAGCACAAAGTCAGGAGCAACAAATGATCACACTTTCAGAACATTTCACAGATTAATGAGGCTAAATCCTTCATAAATAATGCATTCCCTCGGTACAATTACGCCGCGGTGACATCCCAAACCCACTGCTGCTTCAGCGTTAGAAGATGGGAGTTGAGCTCAAAGAGGCAAAATCAGAATGCAAAAACAAAAGATAAATACCTGTTTCTCACAAACAGAATCCCTAATAGTTTCTTCTGACAATAAACCGCTTGTGACCGGATTACTTTCAACACAAAACAACACGGCTCCTGCCAGAGAACGTCTAGGCTAATACAAATCCAGGACCAGGGTGTTTCCTTTTAACGATACAAACAAACCCAGAGTTAGTGGTGGAAACCTTGTTGACGTAGTCGTGTTTACTTTTTAGCAGCAAAGATCTACAAAATTCAAAACCTTTTAAATATTTACAGACTCTAATGCAATGTGATCATCCTATATAGTGGATTATGGATTTTTTCCCCCTTCTTTCTGGTCAATGGCGTGAGATTTCCACTTGCACCGCTGAACAGCAGTTTTATTTCAGGAGACAACAGGAGATGTTTCAGGCAGTGAAGCAGAAGTATATCCCACATTCCCCGGTGACTAAGTTATGAGTTGGCTTGTGGCAAAAGTCTTTATTTGTTCCTCTGAGCAGCTCAGAATCCCACACCCCACTTTTGGGCCTTTTCTATCACGGCGTAACACAGTTAGTAGTTTGGGCTGATTTTTATTAGGTAGAACAACTATTAAATTAACAACACCTATTTACCACCCATTCACACCAAATTACAACCCCCCCCCCCCCCCCCCCCCCCCCCACGCTCCTCCAGTAGGAGGTGGCTAGATTGCGACGAATTTGGAAGGCAGTAATGACAATGTTGACACAAATTAATTGTAATTTTCTCTTGCCATTTTCCATGTCTCATAAACAATCCTTCATCCTCGTCGTGCTCCAAACGCCACCGGCACACCCCCTGGATCGTCTCCCACCATGCAGGCTCACAATTAGACCTCTTTTTTAACGTACTATTCAAATAAATTAGATTTCACTGGGTTTGAAATGTTGGAGCAGCTTTACATTCAAAAATAAACAATTGAAGGCAAACTGTTCCAATTATTTTGGTTGAAAGTTAATTACCTGGCTCTCCAGTATCTTAGATCTTGTCTAGAAATCAGATTTGGGCTTTTAAAATCACATTTGTGAACTTCAGTCTGTTAAACAGATCAATAGAGATGTGTGGCAAATGGACACGCAACCTTTTTGTTAAGCACCCTGTTACATGTCACCTGACGGATGGAGGTCGCACTCATGGGAATGGGGACAACTTGGGTCAGCGAGAATAGCTTTGGCCTTCCTGGTGACTCTGGCTCCATAAAGGCGGGAGAGCTCCTCTGGCCATTTTACTGCACACCTTTACAACGTTGTTTAGTCTGTGCTTGGGTTTAATGGAGAGGGACTCGAACCATTAAACAAAACAAAAAGTTTAAACAGAATCAATGACCTGTCTCGTCACAAATCTCTCTGACTCACGAGGGATCCAGTTACATGTAAGAGGGTCCCTTTATGCTACATTTTGTTTTACTGCACTGCACTTGTGTTTTTCTCATACTCAGTTGTTTTATTTGGAATTTTGCTAGTTTTTGCATATAAAAAAAGAAAGAAAATGATATTTTAAACAGCGTCTCTCTCTCTCTCTCTCTCCCTGTCTGTCTCTCTGATATATATATATATATATATATATATATATATAATTAAATGCTTCACATTCATCGTAACTCGTCACCTTCCTTGATTTCCTTCCTCTCAGATTTAGTCAAAGAGTTGAGTGGAAACATTGGTACTCACTTTTTTCCTTTGCAATTCCCATGTTTCCTTATTTCTCTTTAACTATGTTTCTGTTGTTATTTTGACCAGAAACATGTCCAATATAATAAAATGTTCTACTTTAAAGGGAGACGGAGTTGTGTCTTGCTTTTAGCACCCAATAGCGTCAGTTTAGTAAAACTGAAAGCAAAAACTTGCTTTCTCCTCGTTGTGCGTTCATCTTTAATCTAACAGCTCAAATGTCTCCCCAGAGTTCTTTAATGTCTACAGGAGTGATTAACAACTAAATTAAGCAAACCAGCTGTGATCTTGATCTAAAAGATGCAGAGAATGTGCTGGAAGCAGACTGCAGTGCCAGGTATGTCAGCTAAACTCCGACAGACCGGCCAAGCAACTTTGAGCATGCACGTGGAATATTCTGGCCACGGGGGGGGGCCTTGGATGGCCTTTTATCAACCCTGTAAAGGATCATTTTAGCACATACTGGCTCAAGAAAATTATTTAAAAATATGAAGAAAAAAAATGCATAGTGTCTCTATATTTGATTGGCACCATTTTTACAAGAAAATAAGCCCCCTAGTGGTCAGTTGCCGTATTTGATCTGTGAAGAATTTGCCACTATTTCACCTAACTGCACACTTAGAAACCAGGTGTTCAGTAACCAGAAAACAATTGATGTTTATGTGTTGATTGTCTTCTGCAGGGCAGCAAATAAACTGGACGGGATCCACTTGTCATCTGTGAATAGGGTAACCTATAGACTTGGGTCAAGCATATTTAATTTCAAATTCTAAATGACCACGGCACACTAATGCACCTGGACATAATGCCATGGGCGTGCTTGCATCAAGCTCATTACAGTGAGGTGGTCCTACTACAACCATAAACCACCACAACCTTGCTGCAGCAGACTTCTGCATGCTTGGGGCAAAGACTATCCAAGTTCTGACTGAGGATCTCAAGTCTTCATTCAACATAAATGGTTGCATGAGTGCTATGCATTGAAATGTAGGCAAACTGTGAACATCTACTTAACATATTCATGAGCTGCTTTGTTTATTTTGTTTCTGTAAAAGTTAAAAACTGGAACTTTAAAAGAAATCAACAGCAAAGACTTTGTTCTTTTGTACGTGTTCCTGTGGACTGATTACGTTCCTGACAACAGCTTTCTATTTCTGTGTTACATAACGGCAAAATGGATTCCCACCATCCCACCGGTACCTGCCATTGAGACTGGAAAGAAATATGAGATGTGGCTGCAGATCCTCTGTAGGTTACGGAGGATCACACAGACACGCCGACTGCAGCACAAACACATTGGGACTTATTGGTGATTCACAGCAAATTGCCAAGTTCACAGAAGCACAGCACAGCATTATAATGCTGTCACCCATGCAGCATTGCTCACCATTATTTAAATAAATAGGACTTATTTTTAGCACGTGGCCAACATTGGGTGATAATGAGTCCAAAAAGTATTTCCTGTCATTAGAGAATAAGAATCTGAATAGCAGAGCATTCGTCTCCTCTCTCTATGGATAATGTGAGGACATTATTTTTAATCGTCTTGAATCAGGACCTGAATATCAAATTATTAAACTTTCACATTAAATGAGTGAGTAGTTGTTTGGGAAATTTTTATTTTATGTTTTTACCATAAAACTCCCAATTAGACTCCCTAGAAAATGAGTTTTTTAGAGACAATAATCACTGCTGGGATTGTTTTTAATATGAAAATGAATGCATTGAGATCTCATTTATACTACTGCCAACATTATACACTCATACCATCCTTATTTTTATCAGAGAGGGAGGTAAGGTAACGAAAAAAATACGATGGCTTGGTCTTCTGAATCGTTGTTTCCATGCACAGTCAGCTCTGGCTAAGGCGTCTGATTATTATGACCATTTCAGCATGGGCGTGATGATTAATCAGCTTCTACAAGCATTTATAACATTTAAGATGTTTTACTTTGTCTAATTATGTTTATCTCCTACAGGGGATCGGTAAAGCGACTGTGTGGCGTTTTTACGATGCTCTGTTTGAGACCGCAGAGCAGCGTAAATTATGCCATCATGAGGGACTTACACCTAAGTTTTGGTGTTGGGAGTTTCAGAAATGGCTACTTTCTTTTCTTTTCTTTCCATTCTGCTCCACCAGCAACAAATCACGGTTCTTTGGTGTCATCTGCCAATAATCAGCCTGATTTAGAGTCTTATGGGCCATTCCCACCTGTACCGGGTCGGCCCGGGCCGGGTAGCGTAGGTTGTTTACATATCTGGGTGGCCTGGAATTTTCCTGGGCCAACCAAGGCTCATTCTCGGCCCTCTTCCCGAGGGGGTCTGCTTCAGGCCGACCAGGGCCAACACGCCCACTGCTGACAGCAAATTCACACCTTCCATTAGAGCAAGCCTCTGATTGGTGGGTAGAATCAGCCCACATGGGCTTAAGACAAGGATGTGTGGAATCAACCGGGCCAGGCTGGGGCCGACTGGGGCTACCCGGCCCGGGCCGACCCGGTACAGATGGGAATGGCCCATTACTCCACCCACATTTCCTGTTTGAAAAATGCGCCAAAAGGACGCTTTGCCTGACGGACCGAGAGAGCAGCGCCAAGGCCGTGACTGACAGAAGCCTGAGCTGGAGTGACGTGAGCTTGTGATGAAATTTGTAAAAGTACAAAGTAGAAAATTCTGGTGAGAGTGTGAAAGCAAAAGAGTGAAGCCTGCACCCATGCCAACATGTGGCTGGAAGATAAAATCTCTTGAAAAAGATTCAACCAAAACTATACAACCTAACATTTTACCAGGATTTCACCATTTTACTCCTCTGCTAGCTCCATGCAAACAAAACAGTGGCATGAGTGGACTGTAAAATATTCAGATTGTTCCTTAAGTAGGGTTCTTTAGCCATGTCTGACCAGAAATGGTACCAAAACAAGCTTTTGGCTGCTGTGAATGCACGCACAATAAAGACTAACATGT